GGGATCAAACCTGGGCCCCCTGCAGTGGAAGTGCAGAGTCCTAACCACTGGACTGCCAGGGAATTCCCTCAGTTTGCATTCTTACTAACAATGTATAGTGTCTCTTTCCCCGTTGCCGCTCCAGTAAAATGTGTTGACATATTTTTACTGGTTTAGTATATGAGAAATGGTATCTCGGTGTAGTTTTAAATTGCATTTTAGAGTGGAGTTGAACAAGTCTTTTCATATGTTTATGGCTATTTATTGTAAATGGGGTTTTGTTTACCATTATATCCTCCAAAACTGGGTATTATGTAGGTATATAAAGTCTATTGATTTCTGTATGTTAATTTTATATTCCACAACTTCCTGAATCTTTTATTATTTGGGTTAGTTTTGTAATTGCTTCTGTGGAGTTTCCCTAACATACTATCATATTATCTGCAAAGGAAATTTCCAGTTCTTACGCCTATAACTGATTTCTCTTGTCTGATTTTGTTGTCTACTATCACCCTTCCTACTCATTGTTAAATAGTAGTGGAAGCAGTGGACATCTCTGCCTTGTTCCTTATCTTACTGGAAAACTTCTAGTTCTTCTCCATTAAGTTAGAGGCTGGTTTTAGGACTCACTTATATTTATTTACTCAATTAACAAATTATCAAAGTACAAAATTACTTTAAATTATATCTCAGTAAACCTGATGTTAAAAACAAAAATCTATCTCTGCTACTTCTGGGTTTGGAGGAGAATGGTGGCTACCTAATTTTGAATCTCCCCATGTCCCTTTCGCCCGCTCCCCAAACATAAAAACAACAGGGAGAGTAAATAGAACCACACTTGATCCTACCTTCAGCAATACTAGGAGACAGAGAATATCATGGCCTTCAAATTACCTGTAAGTTGTGAAATGAACTTACTTCCATTAAAGATCCTGCTGCTACTAGCCAGCAGGTGCTGAGAACAGAAATGAGGGAGGCTTAAAAGACTCCATGAAAAAAAGAAAGTGGTTCAGAGGACTTAGGCAAAGCACAAAAAGAGTAATCCCCTTACCTGCAGAAAGAGAAACTCCAACACTAAGTGCAAAATACTGAACACAGGTTTGGATATACTAGAACATAGTACTAGCTCTTGAAAGAGTGTGGGACTGGGAACAGAAGCCTCAGAGAAGCATCGCTTCTGGAAGAGAATCAGATATGTAGAGGTGTGTGTAGTTTCCCTTGGAGATAGTCTACTGAAGGGAACGAAGAAGATAAGAGGGAAGAGTTAAGGATGCTGCAGAAACAAAAGAATATACACATCAACTCCTTCTTCCAACGGCGCTCTCTGAAAAGAGACTGCACAGGAAAGGGGGACTGTCAGAAGAGGGCACTCTCAAACTAGGAGCTCTGTCCAAAAACTGATTAGGATTATTAAAAAGCAGATCACATCCATATAAAACTGTAAAAAGCTGAAAATGTGATTCAAAGTTGAAATGCTGTTGAAAATTCTCACTTAATCAAAAAGTTGACAGAAACTATAACACAGTCCTCCATACTGAATGACATATTCTCTAAAAGTATTTAGGAATAATGAAAAAGCTTGAATCAGAAATTTAAAAACTAAAAACAGAAATGGACGCGCCCCCCCCACCCCCGCAAAACAAAAGAAGAAATGAGTGTTGATTGAACCAGATAAGAAATAGAAGAAAAAAGTCCGAATAATATTAGAGATGAAGACTAAATTACAAGGTGTCCAAGGGGTAATAAATTCATGTAAAAATGTTATAAGGGGCATTGAGCTAAAGCAGGGATATAAAAACAGACTTAGAGACTGAAAACGAGCTTAAAAAAAAGAAGTAGTAAAAAGGGTTAGAGAGGAAATGATTGAATTGGAAGACTAGGAGAAGAGGTCCAACATAAGACTACTTTGGAGACTGGAGAAGAAAATCAAAACAACTGACCAGAACTAATATCTAAAATTAGAATCCAAGAAGACATTCCAGAAATAAAAGGAACCTTAAATCTACATATTGAAAGGGCCTACTAGATACCAGGGAAAATACCCAGAACAGCCTAAGAAGTATCCTAGTAAAACTATTACACTTTAAAGATGTTTAAAAAAAAAGTCCTCAGGGCCTCTAGGAAAAGATGACTTTGAAAGACATGTAAATTAGACTGGACAGACTTTTCACAAATAACATACAAAGCAAGGTAACAGTGAAGCAACGTTTCTAAGAATCTTAAGGAGGTACAAACCAAGGATTTTATATCTAAGCAGCTGCCTTTCAAGAATCAATCAAGGTTATAGAAAGTTTTTTTTAATTTGTTTTAATAAATTTATTTTGTATTTTTTGGCTGCGTCGGGTCTTCGTTGCTGCGAGCAGGCTTTCTCTAGTTGGCGCGAGCGGTGGCTTCTCTTGTTGCGGAGCACGGGCTGTAGGCACTAAGGCTTCAGTAGTTGTGGCACATGGGCTCAGTAGTTGTGGCTTGCGGGCTGTAGAGCGCAGGCTCAGTAGTTGTGGTGCACGGGCTTAGTTGCTTTGTGGCATGTGGGATCCTCGTGGACCACGGCTCGAACCCGTGTCGCCTGCATTGGCAGGCAGATTCTTAACCATTGTGCCACCAGGGAAGTCCTAGAAAGACGGTTCTGAATGTCCAAGAACTCAGAGAATACTGTGCCCATGTGCCCTTTCTGGTGAATCTACTTGAGGGAGATTCTAACCAGGTATGACTAAGGAAACTCCGGACGGATGAATGAAGACTTCATACATGTATTTGTAGAGCTGTGACCAACGAGGATGAGGCGTTTTGGTGAATCAGTCAGAGTTTGATCAGGGGAAAAGGACCACTAGGAGTAAGGAGAAATAATAAGGATTTGTTAACGGCACTTGACTTTATGTAATTGTGGGAGCTGGTTAACTAGTCTACATGTATATAGCTGTTGCTTCTGTGTCTGATGCCTCAATTTGAAGTCAGAAGTTCAGGCAGTTGAAAAGGAAAGATGGATAAGAAGTAGGGGAGATCAAGGGTAAACTACAACCTGCACGCATGAACTGGAACCCGTAAGGATGAACTGGAACCAATGTAAGCTTCCAATTTAAATAATGAGGTGACCAGAAAAATAAGTTTGTTCCCCTCATCAGGAGCTAAAAACTTGCCTGGCCCAGGAGTTGCAAAAGCTGAGGGAAGAGATCTGGCAGGAGCTGGTGCAGCTGCCGGGGCCCAGCTGCTACCCCACAACCACTGAGGTGAGCCAGTAGATGAGCTACAGAGTGTGTAAACTGCAGTAGCACCTGGTGCCCTGCACCAATCTTCCAACAAGAGAGGATAGGGCTGCTGCTGCCCTTAACACCTTCCAGTTCTCTCACATAATATCTTGTGGTCCAGGATAACCCAGAGCTAGGCAGGGAGTAGAATACTGGAAAACAATTCCAACTTAGCTAAGTCTATAAATCCATCACCCAAGAGTAGAGGAATAATATAAAATCATGTATTCTGACAAAATTAGAAAGAATGCAACTAAAGAAAGATGGAAAGAAAAAGGAGAGAGGGGAAACAGAAGACTATTGATTATTGTATAGGTAATAAGTGGTAAAGGATGCCATTTAAAAATGATAGGTCAGATAGCAAAAGGTTATAAAAAATGGGGATTAATACTTTTATAATATGATTAAAAAGTATTAATAGAAAGTAACCACTGGAACAAAAATAGAAAACTTTTTTTTTTTTTTTTTAAAAAACTTTTTTTTTTTTTTTTTTTTAGAAAACTTTTAAAATAGAAATAAGTTGCTTCCTTTATTGCTTGGTACATGGATATTCCTAATTGTTTTATCTTTGTTGTGAATGCTTTTCACATTAAAACGTTTCTTCCTTTGCCCTGTTTAATGCTTTGGGGCTTGAAATCTACCTTGTTGGTTGATCACACCCTTATGTTCCTGTCGCTTTCACTTGCCCACGTATCTTTGTGCATACCTTTATTTTTAGCTTTTCTGATCCAAATCATTTTAGTAGGTGAGTTAAACCCATTCACATTTATTTATAAATAGTGTTATGTATAGTTATTGTGTTATTTTGTGTATTAGGTTTTATTTGCTGTTTCTCAACATGATGTGCTTTTTTGCTATTTTACTTTACTCATTTCTTTTGATATGTAGGAAGTGTTGTATTTCTCTTTTATTGGTTATCTTTGTACTTATAACTTTAAAAAATAATAATAATGAACATTTGTTGAAGTTTTACAGTAAACTAGGTACTATGCTAAATGTCTTATACAGATTTATCTTTCTAAATCTTCAAAACTGACCTATGAGGCAATTCCTGTTATTTTCCCATTTTACAAATAAGAAAACTGATGCACAGAGAGATTAAGTAACATGCCCGAGGTGACATGTTACTTGGTAATCAATGCTGAGTTTTTCTCTGAATCCAGCCTAACACTTCATACTTTTTTTTCTATATTATTTTCTTGATGTACTGTATTGATTAGATAGAAGAAATATGTTGTTTTTAGTTTTCAGCCGGTCTGCTGTCTACAACAAGGTTTGTTCTAAGAACTATACAATAGGAATTTTAAATAAAGACCTTATGGAAACATCTTGCTTATATTCATTATGTTAATCTATAATAGAGTTAGGTCAGAAAAATTTTAAGAGGATAATGTGATAATAAATACCAACAAAAAGCAATCATAGTCACTGTGAATTTCAAAGGGGATTAAAACAGGTGGAAAAAAGTTATAAAATTTCAACATCTTCTAAGAAAATAGAGAATATTATTTTAAAGCTTTATCTAGATAAAGGACACAGGGTTTTAAACTTAAAATAGCTGCATGGTTTTGATCATATGTGTTTGAATTTAGATTTAAATGTTAATTTTTTATTCATGAGTGTAAACGCAGTTGAAGATACTAATTTAGTTCTATGTTTCCTCTTTTTTAATCTCTGACTGTTTATATTTATTTATGACCCAAAACCTAATATGTGGATGGTGATATTCAAACTTTAATACTTCATAATGTTCAACGTATAACTTTTCCCGTTTAGATGGTCTTCTGATTGTTGGTGTTCACTCGGCTAAGTTTCCAAATGAAAGAGTCCTGGATAACGTTAAGAGTGCTATTCTTCGATACAACATCACCCACCCTGTGGTTAATGATGCAGATGCCAGCCTTTGGCAAGAACTAGAAGTTTCCTGCTGGCCAACTCTGATCATACTTGGACCCCGTGGAAACATGTTGTTTTCTTTGATTGGAGAAGGACATAGAGAGAAATTATTTTTATATACTTCAATAGCTTTAAAATATTACAAAGACAGGGGACAGATCAGAGATAATAAAATTGGAATAAAACTCTATAAAGATTCTTTGCCACCTTCACCATTGCTGTTTCCTGGCAAAGTAACGGTAGACCATGTTTCTAATAGATTGGTAATAGCAGACACTGGACATCATAGAATTTTGGTCGTCTGGAGGAATGGACAAATTCAGTACAGCATTGGAGGTAAAGTTTGCTAATTATGTTATATAATGTATTTTACATTATACATGTAAAAAACTAGTTCAAGGAAATGCATTAAAATTGAAATTTATAAATAAGAACTAATTGTAGAAGGGCAATATACACTGATTTTAACTTCATCAGAAATTATTTTGTTAATTGTGTCTGAATTAATCTCTTTTCACTCCCTCAAAAACAAACAAAACTACCCAAAAAAACTCCATTAAGATCAAAAGGAGGAAATCTTTTGTGTAATTTTCAAGTATATTCATATATCCCATCTTGTTTTTTCAAAAAACTGCCACAGTATTGTATCTTATGAAAGTATTATATACATTTTAGATTTCAGGCATTTTAAATGGAAGTATTTCACTTTCCATCAAAATATAGCCATATATATATTTATTTATTTGTTTATGGCTGCGTTGGGTCTTTGTTGCTGCGTGCAGGCTTTCTCTAGTTGCAGCGAGTGGGGGCTACTGTTCGTTGCGGTGCACAGGCTTCTCATTGTGGTGGCTTCTCTTGTTGCAGAGCACGGGCTCTAGGCAAGCGGGCTTCAGTAGTTGTGGCACGCGGACTGAGTAGTTGTGGCTTGCGGGCTCTAGTGTGCAGGTTCAGTAGTTGTGGCACACGGGCTTAGTTGCTCTCCGGCATGTGGGAGCTTCCCGGACCAGGGCTCGAACCCGTGTCCCCTGCATTGGCAGGCGGATTCTTAACCACTGTTTTTTAAGACCACAGCAATACCCTAGGAAGTTGAGTCTTAGATTATGAAATAACCTAGGATTTGTATCTTATTATACTTTTCTCTCCTTTCATAAGAACTTAAGCGTACTTCTGAATCCATTCCATTTGGTTGTAGTGAAATAAAAGTATCATATAGGCATAGATCATTTTCTTTCATATCTCCCTGGTCTTGATCTAAAAAGGGCTCTTATTGACATCTTATATAATTAATAAAATCTGTTAAGTACATTATTAATCCTGCTCACCAGGCTGAACTGACATCTGACAACATAATTAGTCAAAGAGAAAAGTAATTCATCTCTTTGCAATCCTACTTTGGTCACACATGCAGTGTTAGTACATAAAGTAGGGATATCAACATTCCTGATGCAAATAAACTAATAAATAAACTAAAAAATAAACTAATTGTTTCCTAAGTCCTGAGGCTATTCTTAGTATGCCAAGGTATCATACTTAGCTCTTGAATTCATTTGTTTCTTATTTGTTGTTTCTGTTAGGGTATGTGTGTGTTCTATATTGTTTATTTTGCTTGGGCAACTTGGTATTTTGGTTAATAACAGGAAGTTATGACAGTTGTCACTCAAAAAGCATCTGTTATAGCAAATTACATTTAAATGGTTAAAAGTTTTTAATAGATTTCTAAAATTTTCTAGTTTAGATGGATATTCTCCTTTGTTAAACAGAGGAACCATCAGCAAGCTACCTTTTCCAAATATGTTTCTAGGAATATTGTTATCTTGTGATAAATTTATAGTTATTCTACAATTTTTAAAAAAGAATTCCGTGGTCAGATACACTCAGGAAATACTGGTCAGATGTGCTTTAAAAGATTTTTGGTGGTGGTGGTGTCACTGTACTCAGATCTTTTACTCTGCCTAATGTATCTCATGAATATATGAGAGGAGGTTATAGTATACAGTATTTTCCAATCTGAAGTGATCACAGTACTCTCCCTTTTTTTCCCCCAGGGAACTCTCATCACCAACAGTAATAAATAGTATTATTAATAATAGTAATAATAGCAAACAAAAATATGCCTGGCATTATTCTAAGCACTTTACCTGTATTAATTTATTTAGTCCTCACAGTGCTATGAGTTAGGTATATTATTAATTCCATTTTACGAAAGAGAAACTGAGACACACAGAACTTGCCCAGATCATCAGCTAGGAAGAGCTAGGGTTTAAACGAAGTCTGTTAACTTGGGATTCATGGGCTATTAAGAAATGCTTGAATGATCCTCATGATTTAGGAACCCCTTGCAATTCCTGTGACATTTTATGGGCATGTGTATTTTTGTAAGGAAAGGGTTCGTAATTTTCAGTTGTAATCAAAGGGGTTTATCTTCCAAAATTGTTAAAAATCATTCATCTAGATTGTAAAAGATTTAAGTTATTTTTTAATTCTTTCTAGTCTAGATAATAGGTAATTCAGATGCTTTTTAAAGTAATTTCTTCTGATATCTACTACTAAAGTGTACTAGTAACCATTATCTAGTAAGCCCTGTCATTAGCAAAACTTACTCTTGAGAAAAATAGGTATCTTGGGATACAGTTTAGTTTTTAGGTAGAAGTATCAAGTTATTTATATTAAAATCCCAGCTTTAAATACAAATTTTATTTTTTCGGTGTTAATTTGAGATAACTTTAAGTGGAAAAATTTTGTCTTACAGCTATCTTGTCTTGTAGGACCCAACCCTGGAAGAAAAGATGGAATGTTTTCAGAGTCAACTTTTAACTCACCACAAGGTGTAGCCATAATGGATAATATCATATATGTGGCAGATACAGAAAACCACCTTATAAGAAAGGTAATTTTCCATTTTAAATAAAGTTTTAATCCTTCTAATCAGCAAAACTTATATTTACTTGCTACATAAATATTTGAAGTGAGAGGGTGTTGCTTAAATACTTCAGATCATCCTCATTCAGCTTTGTTCAGAGGTTACTTGTTTTAACTTTATTCTTAGACAAAACACATCAAATCGTTTTCTTAATCCTTTATTTTAAAGTCATGTGCCTAATCACCCAAAAGCTCCTCATTTTGAGGTATTTTCCTAACTACTATTTATAAAGAGATGCTTTGTCCTTTTTCAGTTAAATTTTCTCAAACTTAGAAAAAAAAAAAAACATACCACTCCTGCATCCCTTCAGCTCTTATGCTTTGTCTGGGAATACTTATCTGTCAATTAGTCTTAAAATTTATTTTATCTCATTATAAAAGTAATATATGATCTTGTTTTTAAAAAATGAATTAATAGGTAAAGGTAAAAAAGGTCTCCTAATCATCTATTCAGGCTCTCGAGGGGTAACCAACCATTGTTAAAATTTGTGTCTTCAGAAATTTTCTACTCATGTACGAATAATTTTATATTGAAAGGACTGTCTCTAGAGAATCTTCTTTAAACAAATGGAATCATAATGTACATACATAATTCCTAAATTCTTTTTTTAACTTTTTTTTCCATGTTAGTCATATGGCTATGACTGCATAGTATTACCTAGTTATTTTAAACATTTCTTATTGATGAGTATTCTGACTGTAATCTGTTGGTCTTTAAGTTGTTATTTCTATTTGGAAAATAAGTAAGTTCATCTAACCCATTCTGTCGGAACATATATGTACTACATATTGTACCTAAGTACATTTAGGTACTTCCTTGCTTTTCTCACTATTTCTCTCTCTTGATATTTTTGCCCATTTATATTATAAAAATTATCAACTAATATATATATAATAGGAAAAAACATATGTAGAACATTTAATAATAACCACTGTAATGTAAATCTCCATGAGGGCATGACATTTGTTTTCTTTACTACTGAAATCCTAAGCACCTAAAACAGTGCCTGGCCCATAGTAGGTGTTTATTAGATATTTGTTGAATTAATTTATAAGCAAATAACATCTGTTGAATGAAGCATTTTCTAAAGCGTGAATTCCTCTTAATATGAAAAGATGTTACATGAAAAAAGGATTTTGTGGATTTATAAATTAAAGCAGACTTTTTTTTTTTTTTTTTTTTGCGGTACGCGGGCCTCTCACTGTTGTGGCCTCTCCCGTTGTGGAGCACAGGCTCCGGACGCACAGGCTCAGCGGCCATGGCTCACAGGCCTAGCCGCTCTGCGGCATGTGGGATCTTCCCAGACTGGGGCACAGACCCGCGTCCCCTGCGTCGGCAGGCGGACTCTCAACCACTGCGCCATCAGGGAAGCCCTTAAAGCAGACTTATTTTTTGAAAGTCTTGCTAATATATTTTAATATGCTAATATATTGTGAATACACTAGTGGGGGGATATGTGTGTGGTATTTCTAAACTTATTTGACCAAGGAGCCCTTTTTAGGCAGAACTTTTCATAGGACTAATAGCTTAATGTTGTATACTCTGGGAAGAGTGCTTTTATGTTACTAACTCCTTAGAGGTCAGTATTTCCTTATCATTATCTTTTGAGGGTTCTATGCTTCTAAAATTCATCATAGTGTCATAGATATCTAACAGGATATTGAAGTAGTAATATATGTAGCCCACAACATACAGGGAGTACTTGTCCTTTTTTGATTTTATGTTATTTCTCTTGCTTTAGGACTTAGTGGGTTTTGGAGTATTGACTGCATTTCAAATACTTTTTAAGTAGCATAATCATGATAACAAATATAGGTTACTCGAGGTCATTTTTATGACTTAGTTTAGTGTCTGCAAAAATGGAAATGAGAGCATTATGATTTCTTCCTTTTGTTTTAAAAAAACAAAAGTTTTAAAAGTATAAAAATATTTATTGTATTTTACATTTGTTTAAGATCTCATTTGCAGAGGGTTGATCATACTCCTACATTCACAGCTCATGAACATCATCGTTCCATGCCAACCTGTCTCTTGTTAGAATAACTTATTTATTAATTTGTAAATTCCTCTTCATCTCCATTCCCATTTCCCCTGCCATTCCCTGTACATAAGTACACCTATAGGCAGCCTTTCTGATATGTTTGATTCACATTTTCTTATTTATCTGTGACCTTGTAAAACATGTAGTATTTTGTGTGTGGTTTTTTTTTTTTTTTGGTGTGTGTGTGTTTATAACAACTTTATTGTGATATATTTTACATAGTACAAAGGTCACGCATTTCATGAAAATAATTCAGGAATTTTTAGTAAATTTAACAAGTTGTGTAACCATCACCATAAATCATTTTTAGAACATTTTCATCCTCCTAGTAAGAACCCTCATGCCCAATTACAGTTAATCCCCGTTCCCACCCCCAGCCCTAATCTACTTTTTGTCTCTGTAAATTTGCCTCTTTGAACATTTCATATAAACAGAATCATACAGTATATGGTCTTATGTGTCTGGCTTCTTTTATTCTGTGTAATGTTTTTGAGGTTCATTGATGATGTAACATGTCAGTAATTAATTCCTTTGTATTGCTGGATAGCATTCTGTTGCATGTATAAACCACATTTTATCTGTTTAACAGTTGGTGGGCATTTAAGGTGTTTTCCAGTTTTTGGCTATTTATGAATAATTCACATATAAGTTTTGTGTGGACATACATTTTTATTTCTCATGGGTAAGTCTGTAAATACTGGAAATGTTGATTCATATGTTTTATATTTTGTGTTTAACTTTTTGAGAACGTGCTAAACCACAGTGGTTGCATCATTTTACATATCTACCTGCAATATATGTGGGTTACAATTTCTCCATATCTTCACCATTACTTATCATTTTCATTTTCTTTTTTTTTCTTTTTTTCATTTTCCATTTTTAAACTTCTAGGCATTCTGCTAGATATGAAGTGGCCTATCATTGTGGTTTGGAATATGTGTTTCTCTAATGAGGAATGATGTTGAGCATCTTTTCCTACGTATATGGACCATTTGTTTATCATCTTTTGAGAAGTGTCTATTCAGATTCATTGACAATTTTTTATTGGGTTTTTGTGTTTTTTATTATTGAGTTGTAAGAGTTCTTTATATATTCTAGATGCAAATTCCTTATCAGATATATGATTTTCAATACTTGCCCACATTCTGTGAGTTGTCTTTTTTTTATATATATACAAAAGTCAATTGCTTTTTTTTAACATCTTTATTGGAGTATAATTGCTTTACAATGGTGTGTTAGTTTCTGCTTTATAACAAAGTGAATCAGTTATACATATGTTCCCATATCTCTTCCCTCTTGCGTCTCCCTCCCTCCCACCCTCCCTATCCCACCCCTCTAGGTGGTCACAAAGCACCGAGCTGATATCCCTGTGCTATGTGGCTGCTTCCCACTAGCTATCTATTTTACGTTTGGTAGTGTATATATGTCCATGCCACTCTCTCACTTTGTCACAGCTCCCCCTCCTCCTTCCCATATCCTCAAGTCCATTCTCTAGTAGGTCTGTGTCTTTATTCCTGTCTTACCCCCATGTTCTTCATGACATTTTTTTTTTTAAGATTCCATATATATATGTGTTACCATACGGTATTTGTCTTTCCCTTTCTGACTTACTTCACTCTGTATGACAGACTCTAGGTCCATCCACCTCACTACAAATAACTCAATTTCGTTTCTTTTTATGGCTGAGTAATATTCCATTGTATATATGTGCCACATCTTCTTTATCCATTCATCGGATGATGGACACTTAGGTTGTTTCCGTCTCCTGGCTATTGTAAATAGAGCTGCAGTGAACATTTTGGTGCATGACTCTTTTTGAATTATGGTTTTGTCAGTGTATATGCCCAGTAGTGGGATTGCTGGGTCACATGGTAGTTCTATTTGTAGTTTTTTAAGGAACCTCCATACTGTTCTCCATAGTGGCTGTACCAATTCACATTCCCACCAGCAGTGCAAGAGGGTTCCCTTTTCTCCACACCCTCTCCAGCATTTATTGTTTCCAGATTTTTTGATGATGGCCATTCTGACCGGTGTGAGATGATATCTCATTGTAGTTTTGATTTGCATTTCTCTAATGATTAATGATGTTGAGCATTCTTTCATGTGTTTGTTGGCAATCTGTATATCTTCTTTGGAGAAATGTCTATTTAGGTCTTCTGCCCATTTTTGGATTGGGTTGTTTGTTTTTTTGATATTGAGCTGCATGAGCTGCTTGTAAATTTTGGAGATTAATCCTTTGTCAGTTGCTTCATTTGCAAATGTTTTCTCCCATTCTGAGGGTTGTCTTTTGGTCTTGTTTATGGTTTCCTTTGCTGTGCAAAAGCTTTTAAGTTTCATTAGGTCCCATTTGTTTATTTTTGTTTTTATTTCCATTTCTCTAGGAGGTGGGTCAAAAACAATCTTGCTGTGATTTATGTCAGAGAATGTTCTGCCTATGTTTTCCTCTAAGAGTTTGATAGTTTCTGGCCTTACATTTAGGTCTTTAATCCATTTTGAGCTTATTTTTGTGTATGGTGTTAGGGAGTGTTCTAATCTCATAGTTTTACATGTACCTGTCCAGTTTTCCCAGCACCACTTATTGAAGAGGCTGTCCTTTCTCCACTGTACATTCCTGCCTCCTTTGTCAAAGATAAGGTGACCATATGTGCGTGGGTTTATCTCTGGGCTTTCTATCCTGTTCCATTGATCTATATTTCTATTTTTGTGCCAGTACCATACTGTCTTGATTACTGTAGCTTTGTAGTATAGTCTGAAGTCAGGGAGCCTTATTCCTCCAGCTCCGTTTTTCATTCTCAAGGTTGCTTTGACTATTCATGGTCTTTTGTGTCTCCATACAAATTTTAAGATTTTTTGTTGTAGTTCTGTGAAAAATGCCAGTGGTAGGTTGATAGGGATTGCACTGAATCTGTAGATTGCTTTGGGTAGT